CCCCAAAACCCCAAAACCCCAAAACCCCAAAACCCCAGAAGGTAAGATTTATGTTGAAAATTATTTTTTGGATTCGAAATTTTAGACACAGTTTTTTGGTAAGTTAAGCAAAGATTTCATCATAAAGACAATTTTCTAAATTCTCTCCTCTTACAACTCTTTCGTTTTTATTCAATGATGAAATTGTTTTCATTTCCTCATCAGTAAGTTCAAAATCAAAAACATCAATATTTAGCTTTAGTCTTTCAAAGTTAGAACTTTTAGAGATTACTGGATATCCTCTTTGAATTCCCCACCTCATTGCAATTTGTGCATTTGTTTTACCATACTTCGTTGCTATCTCTGTAATGGTTTCTTCTCAATTAATTCCTTTCTCTGGATCGCTTCTTCCAAGAGCACAGTATCCAATAGGAGTTATTTTATATTTCTTTAAAAATCTTAGCATTGCCTCTTGAGTGAGATAAGGATGAAGCTCAATTTCATTGAATTGAGGAATAATTTTAGCATATGTCATCATATCTAACAAAGATTGAACATTAAAATTAGATACACCGATCTGCTTAGTGAGTCCCTTTTCTACCATTAACTCCATATTTTCCCATACTTTATGAATAGGTATTTTAACCTGCTTTGGGTTAGATTCTTCATCTAATTCATATGCAACAGGGAAATGAACCATATAAAGATCAAGATAGTCTATATTGAACTTCTCAAGTCAATTTGTAAGGGCCCCTTCTACATCTTTCATTTGTGTTCCCCATAATTTGTATGATATAAACAGATCTTCCCTCTTGATATCAGTTTCTTCAAAAATTTTGGTTAGCGCTTGTCCAATCATATCTTCATTTTCGTAGTAATGACCAGTGAGAATATGACGATACCCTAATTCTACAACAGCTTTGTATAAATTATCTGTGTTTTCCATTTTCCATGTTCCGAACCCTACCATAGGAACTGGTGAAGTACTCTCCATTTTTAGATATAAATTATAGTGTTCAATCTTATAAAATCTAAAAGGGGTTTTGGGGTTTTGGGGTTTTGGGGTTTTGGGGTTTTGGGGTTTTGGGG